GTTCGGCATCTCAGAAGCGAATCGCCTGAAGTATATCCCTCCGGAAGTGGTGAACGGAGGACTAAGAATGCCTAAGGAGGTTCGTGAAGCGGGGGCAGCTCGTTGGAAGAATTGCTTGGTTGGGCAATTTCTACAGGATCCGCCATCGCTCTATGTCCTGAGGCGCTGGGTCAACAAACTGTGGGGCAGAGACGGTTTGGTTAGGGTCTCTCTTCTTTATGACAAGATGTTGCTGATTCAACTCCCAAATCAACAGGTGTGCGACTGGATTTTGGAAAATGGTCCTTGGTTCTGGTTCAACAACCTGCTCTACCTTCGACCATGGGTACCGGGGATAAGTGTTGAAGATCTGGGGAGAAAAGCCCTCCCAATTTGGGTTCATCTGTCGAATGTGCCGCTTGAGTACAACGATTTTCAGGGGCTGAGTCGTATTGCTAGTTGGGTAGGAGTTCCACTGGGAGTAGATCACACAACTCGAATGGGAAATCGCCATGGGTTTGCTAAGGTCCTTGTTGAATTAACTGTGGAGAGTGCTTGTCCTGATCACGTTCTGCTGTGGCCAGACGATGATGCGTCAATTAAGATTGGTGTCTCTTATTGTAATTTGCCTCCCGTTTGTTCGGTTTGCAAGATTTTTGGTGTTACAGGGGCGTGTGTTGCTCATCACGGGAAACAATGGGTACCAGTGGTAGCTCCTGAGACTCGTTCATTGATTCCAGCTGGTGTGGCAGAGGTGACGCAGGAGAATAAGATTGCTACGCCAGAGAGTGCAAAGGGCAAGGAGCTACAGGCAAGTCTTGATCCACAGCTGCAGGCCATTTTTGCGAGCCCTGTGATTGAAGGGGGTGGGATTGCTCCACAAAATTTGGAGAAATCATTTGCAGCTGTGGCTGGAACAGCCTCCCCGAAATTGCCTTCTGAAGATGAGTTCCAACGGGTTGTGAATGGTGCAAAACCGAGAGTATGGAAGCCAGATAAAGCAGGGGGTACGATCTTAACCTCTCCATCAACCTTCACTGTGCTCAGTCAGTTGGGTGATAAAGAATCAGGTAAAATTATGGAAGCCCCAAAGAAAAAAGATGTGAAGAGGGATCAGTGGAAAGGAGGTGGGGGGAAACCCTCAACTTCTAGATGATTGTCTTATTTTGGAATGTGAGGGGGTTTAATAAAACCCCCAAGCAGAAGGACTTGATGCAAGTCCTTCATCGAAACAAAGTAGACGTGGTTGCAGTGCTGGAGACAAGAATAAGAGCAGAGAAGGCTAAAGATGCTGTTGAGGAAGTTTTTGCTGGATGGGAGAGATGTATAGACTGTGTTGATTCTAGTTTAGGAAGAGTTTGGTTATTCTGGGTTCCTGAGGTCAGGGTTCATGTGATTAAGCCGGGGAAAAACTTTGTGCACTGTGTGGTGGAGGATGTAAACAAGGATAGGGTCTTTCTGACGGCAGTGTATGCATCGAATGATGAGGCAGAGAGACAGACAACATACAAAGAGATTGCTAAGTATAAGGTAGTGGGTCATCCATGGATTATTGGGGGTGATTTCAACACAGTTAGAGGGCCTGAGGAAACGTCAAATCAGAAGCACCTAACTAGCAGCATGAACGATTTTAATGCGTGGATTGGGGACATGGAACTGTTGGATCACAGAACAGTGGGGCCGCAATTTACTTGGACTAACAGGCAAGTTAGTAACCCTATTGCTAGGAAGTTAGATAGAGCGTTGGTCAATCTGGATTGGATTGACAAGTTTCAGAACTGTGTAGTTGAGGTGATTCCAGGCAGCTTCTCTGATCACTGTGGGATACAGGTCTGCACAGTAGCTCCAATCAAAACTATGCCCAAACCGTTTAAGTATTTTGAGTTCTGGTCAGAACATCCCAAGTTTCTGGACATTGTAGAGGAGGCTTGGCAGGTTGAAGTTGCAGGGAATCCATGGCAGGTCCTACAAAAGAAGTTGAAAGAGGTAAAACAGGCATTAAAGCGATTCAATAGGGATGTCTATGGGAATCTTCAGGATCAGGTCAAGGCAGCTACAGAGGCATATCAAAGTGCTAATGCTCATGCCTACTCTGTTCCTTCAGCAGCAAGTTTTGAGAAGGTTGTGCAGGCCAAGGATCAACTTATTCAGATATCAAAAGCATATGAAAGCTTCTGCTGGCAGAAGTCAAGGGTTTCTTGGTTGACAGTGGGTGACAAATGCTCCAACTTCTTCTACCAGGCAGTAAAAATAAGGAATTCTAAAAGAGCAATAAGAAAATTGGTCAAAGAGTCAGGGGAGGAAGTCTACAAAATGGAGGAGATAGTAGAAGAAGTGCTAGGTTTCTACAAAAGGCTCCTGGGGGAAGTCAATGAAGAAATTACACCAAGTATTGAGGCTATTCAAAGGCTGGTGAGACACAAGCTCCCCCAAGAAGAATGTGCAGGTTTAATTAAGCAGGTTACTACTGAGGAGATCAAGGCTGCAGTATTTAGTATGAATGCTCAGAAGGCCCCGGGACCAGACTGATTTTCTGCTGGTTTTTTCAAGAAGACATGGGCTGTTATTGGAGAAGATGTAGTAAAGGGTATTCAGTGTTTCTTCATTACAGGTATGCTTCCTAGTGGCATAAACTCTGCTGCTGTGTCCTTGTTACCTAAAGTCACTAATGCTGATACTCTTAGAAACTTTAGACCTATTTCCTGTCTTAACATCCTATACAAGGTCATAGCTAAGATCTTAACAAATAGAATCCGTGAAGTAATGCCTTTAATCATAAGCAGCTCCCAATCTGCTTTTATTAAAGGTAGAAGCATTATGGACAACATTCTGTTAGCTCAAGAGTTAGTAAGTGGTTACAATAGAAAACATCTTTCATCTCGCTGTGCAATAAAAGTGGACATAATGAAGGCTTTTGACTCTGTGAATTGGAGATATTTATTCATTATGATGAAGACTATTGGATTCCCTGAGAAGTTTCTGTTATGGATTAGAACCTGCCTACAAACTGCCCACTACAGTTTTAACATAAATGGTAGTCTTTGTGGCTTTTTTCGAGCTAAGAAGGGAGTCAGGCAGGGTGACCCCTTGTCACCCTACCTGTTCACTATAGCCATGGAAGGTTTATCCACACTCTTGAAGGAGGCTAGTCTATCAGGAGCAGTGCCTTTTCACCCTCTGTGTAAGAAAGTTGAATTGAATCACTTATGCTTTGCGGATGATCTCCTCATATTTACTAAAGGTTCTGCTCAAGCAATTGTTCAGGTCAGGGAAGTTCTTAATCAGTTCTATAGGGTGTCAGGTCTCAAGTGTAATCCAGCTAAATGCGAAATATATTTTGGGGGAGAGTCAGTTCAGTACAAATCCAATGCGCTGGAGCTTTCAGGGTTCCAGGAAGGGGCCTTACCTGTCCGATACCTAGGGCTGCCTCTACTGGCAGGTAAGCTTTCTTCCTCAGAGATTGATAATTTGGTGGATAAAATCACAAAGCGCATTAAATCGTGGCGAGCTAAAAAGCTCACATATGCAGGGAGGCTACAACTCCTGAACTCAGTGCTTCTTAGTATAGTCCAGTTCTGGATGCAATTGTTTGTCATTCCTAAACTAGCTTTGAAACGGATTCAGAAAATCTGCTCGCAGTTCTTATGGCATGGTGTTGCTGAAGGCAGGGCGAAAGTGGCTTGGGAATTTATTTCTCTGCCTAAACAGGAAGGGGGTTTAGGGGTAAAGGACTTAGGTGCATGGAATCAAGCTTGTTGCATAAGATTACTTTGGCTGTTTCTTATGAATTCTGGGACCTTGTGGGTAGCATGGATGAAAACGTATAAATGCAGGAATTTGGACTTGTGGTCAGTAAGGGTGCAAGCTAGTAGTTCATGGGCCTGGAGAAAACTGTTAAAGTTAAGGACTGTCATCTATCCCTGGATGAAGAATCATAATGGTACTGTATACTGGGACTCGAAAGAAATGATGGTCTATTCTACTAGCAGGGTATGGGAAACCCTGAGACACAAAGCTCCCAAAGTTGCCTGGTACAGTTTGGTTTGGGGCAAGAATTGTCCCCCGCGATGTAGTCTGATAGTCTGGTTAATTATCAAGAAGGCTATTATTACAAGAGATAAGTTGCAGAGATGGGGAAAAATTAGTGATGCAACATGCCAGCTTTGCAGCTCTTCAAATGAGAGCAGAGATCACTTGTTTGTTCATTGTTCTTATTGGAAACAGCTTGCAGGTGAACTGAAGTGTACAATGCTGCTGCGAAATGATTGGGATCAGATGTTGAGGGCGATGGAACGGGTTGGGACATCGAGAACAAGACTGTGGCATAGTCTGATGTGGTGCTTGATGGTGACTTACACATGGAAAGAAAGATGCGGTGTGATCCATGGTTCTCAGCGTCGTGCGCCTGCTCAGGTGGCAGACCTGATTCGGGATGACTTGCAATTTATAGTTTATGGCAATAGGAGTTACAGAGACATACTAGAAGAGCTGGGATACTTGTAGAAAGGTTCACCTTTGGTTCTTTTCCTGTTTCCTGGTAGTTGCATAGTTGTTAGTAGCTTAACACGGTAGAGATTGTCGCTGTACTCGAGATTTTTCTCGCTTTGTTGTATCAGTTTACTTGAAATAAAAGCAACTGATTCAACGAAAAAAAAAAGTTGATGCGTACAATGTAGTCATCTAACAATTTTTCTTATTACTTTTTGTATTAAACTACCTTGTTTCTTCCGTAGATAGATTAACCTACCTAAATTTTGTATGATTGATAGTTTTTATTCATCTAAATTTGTTATGTATTTCTTTTATCACCTCAAAACGAATCCCACTCCCGAAAAGACACACTACCAATAAACCAAAACAAGAAAAGCTCTCTTCCGCCTCTTCGTCCCTCAGTCGGCTCCCCGGACCATCTCTGACCAGCCATATCCAGTTACCAGAAATGGATCAATTGGCGAACGGCAACAACCCACTCAAGTTCCTCATCTAAGGCCGAACCGGCTGGATCGGCGGCCTCCTGGCCGGGCAAAATCTGTGAATCTCAGGGCATCGATTACACCTACGCCTCCGGCTGGCTCGGCAACCGCACCTTCCTCGAGAACGACATCGCCACCATCAAGCCGACCCACGTCTTCAACGCCGCCGGCGTCACCGACCGCCCCAACGTCGACTGGTGCGAACTGCGAATCCCACAAGGTCGAGACCATCAGGACCAATGTGGTCGCCTCGTCCCTCTGACCCTTGCCGATGTCTGCTGGGACAAGGGCCTTGTTATGATTAATTACTTCAGTGGATGTATCTTCGAGTGCGATGACATGCACCCTCTCGGGTCCGGTATTTGGTTCAAGGAAGAGGACACTCCTAACTTCACCGGATCTTACTACTCTAAGACCAAAGCTATGGTTAATGTTCCGCCTCTTGAATGAGTATGCTCTGTTTCCATCTAGTTCAAGAATGGCGATTTGGTATTTGGAGTTATGCTTGATTGAATTGGGTTAATGGCGATGTGGGTTTTCATCCCATGTGGAGGTTGGATATAAAGGTTTCTCGTTGGGGATCTATTAGACAGTGTCGATAGTCTCGATTTTGCCAACAATTATAAACTCTTTCCAATTCCTTATCCCAGCACGAGATCTCGATTCGACTAAGTTCCCTCGGTCCTTCAAGCTCGCTCAGAAAACAAAACAACCATATCAATTTTTCACTCTGGATACGGCGGTGGATCGCCGTCAAATAAATTGATCGACGATGGGCCAAGCAGCTGGGAAGGGTTCTGATGATGGTGAAATTGGGGGAAAATATTTACGGCTTGAAGATGATTAACGGGTTGGAATGAATTTTGATGATTGGGAAATTGAAAAAGATTTTCTGGTTTGCTGATGATGATGTCGTTAAAAGGTGAAAGGGAGAAAAAAGGATTCAATGGGTTGGATGTTCATACAGCTTGCCGCCTTCTGCAACTTTCTATTTGGAATTCTATAATGAAAGAGAAGCTAAAGAAGAACAAACTGGGTTTGGAGAAAAGTTGGACCTTATAATAGGTAGAGTAATGGAATAAATTTTGATGGCAGTTGTGTTTCTTTAATTATATGAATTTTGGGGGCTTAAAAGTATGACTAAATGAAATTACGTATTGCAATATTAAATATAGTGATAAATATTGTTGGGGGACACTATCGTATGTATAATTATTTAAGGGGTGCAAGTAGTAATTATTATTATTGATTTTATTATAATTTATAATGACCGTTAGATTAGATCAACGGTGTAAAGGTCTGGCGTATCGTATGTGTCAGGAGCATACGTGTGATCTCGACCGGGTATCGTATGTGGCCAGTTCTATCGTACCCCGGGTAAATTCCGGGGTATGGCGTACCTTGATGATCTTAACCGTACGTGTGATCTCGACGGCTGAGATTAAATTTTATTAAATGATTTGTTTTTTCGGAATTTATATTAAATAAAATTACTGATCAACTCATAGAATTAGTTTTTCTTTCATTTTAGTCCTCTATGTCCGTGGGTTGGTTAGTTTGATTTGGGTTGGGTTTTTTCAATATTTTGATTGAACCCAAATTCAACCACCCCAAAACATAAAGGGTACCTACCCCATCCAACCTATAAAAGCGGTCTGGGGACCGCCTATGTATATTTAATTTTTCCCTCTCCGTCCCATTTACATCTACACATAATATAATACGTCGAAGGGAAAAACGGGAGCCCCATTTCAAATTTCCTGCAACGAGAGTGAAAGTAGGAAGAACATTTTGGTCTTCACAATTACTTTTTTTTATTCATTAAAAAGACAAGTATTGGGATTCGAACCATGACCATTTTAAAGAAAAGCAAGGATCATAACCAATCACACTAAGTACATTTGTTATATCTTTTTAAATTAAAAACATATAATAGCTGGGAGGAAAAAACCCTTTCCCAATTTCAAATTCCCTGCTCCATGAGCGTTTGTAGGAAGGGTAGAATAGGGAGTGTCAATATTTTTCTCTTTCCTCTGTGGAACGGGCCAACATACCGTACACATGCGGATTTGAACGGGTCCAGGAGTGTCAATTTTTTCCTTTAAGCCCTTTTATTTCTCTGTGGTGATAAAATATATATGAAAAGGCAAAAATAATACTTCTTTTTATTGCTAAAAATAACAAATTTAACAACATACTAATGCATGGTATCTAATGGGCTAACCACTAACCGTAAAATAAAAGAGTTGAATGGGCCCGACCTACAAGGGATTTGGCAATCAAGTAAAACAAATAAACATCATTGGTTTAACATTCTAAAACAAGCTATGTTCTCTGACATAATATATATTATGCTATTATTTTATATCTTAGTGACTAAAATATAATGTATTTTAAAGTTATTCAATGGTTCAACCTCGACCAACCCAATTAGTCCAATTTTTATCATTTCAAATATATATTATATAATTATTTGATATCATAATGATCAAATTATAGTGTATTTATGGGAATCGTTTGATATTTGTTAGTAAAAAACTAAATAGAAAGATCTATTTGGTTATTTTAAACATTAAAACGATCCTAAACAGTTTCAGTTTCTTTTGAATTTCTATGGTTTTTTTCTCGAATAAGTGATGTGCAAATGGCAAATTTTAGTCATCTCTTTTCTTTCACTATTTTTTATTTTCAAATAGAAAGTTTAAAAGTAAAGATTAATTAGAATTTGGCATGGGTCGGTCAAACAGGCTGAATTTCAAGTTTTGGCCCGTTTTGATCAAGTCTAATTTATAATCACATGGTTCCCTGATACCCGATAAAAATCTCAATCCAAACCAGTTTGGCAGGTGAGTCCGTGTTTACCGCCATTTTCTAGGGATACGACAACGGCGGTTCCTATCCCAAATCGTGTTGTTCGTTCTTGATTTCCTTAGATTTTATCATGGCCTGACAAAAACCAGAAAGCCAATGACGACAAGATGAAAGTTTTATAAAGCAAATTAATCGGCCAACAGGCCGAGTAAAGGCTAGTAGATGCTCATTTCCCAAAAACCGACGGGATAGGCGATTTTTTATTCGATTTTCTGGAATTCGGTTTCTATAAAACTTACCCCACTTCATCATATTACCAGAAACAATATTGTTTCACAAGGTAACAGGTAATTAATTTTGGTTCATAAGGCCGATTTTTTATTCGGTGCATCATTCATGTCTCTTTCCTGCTAAAATTCAATATTTTTATCATGTGTTTCCCAAAAAAAATTATACAACAATAAGCTATACACCCCATTACATTATCAAATTTCATACCTCACCTTCCTCCGACCAACTGGCCGGGGCCCACACTAGTTTCATTTTCATTCACGGACCGAGAGAAGCAGAGCGAGCGAATTTCAGGGGAGCGACGAGGGTAAAGTTCTAAAGCTTGATTTTTAAGTTCCAATAATCCAAAAATCCCATAATCGGTACGTTACCCTTTTGTACAGTGTTAGTTAATTAATTCTAAGCTTGAAGCTGATTCCCGACTCATAAATTCTCTAGGTTTTGTATCGTAGATATTAGGGTTTCGGAAGATCCGGAAGTTGGATTAAGCCCAAATTTCATATACGAGCTTATTGTAACGAGGAGATATTAGGACGGTCTTGAATTTTGATTCCGGGTTCGTTCGTGAAAATGACGTTTTAGTACAAGAAGTTAAAATCAATGTTTGAACGACCGAAACTGGTGAGGGATTAGAATGGCATACCGGGTTTGTCCTATCACGATAATTATATTGATGTTTAGAATTGACCAAGGTGGTATTGGATGGTATTTTTTGGTCTTGTATTCCCCCTACCCCCCTCCCGATCGAAATTTGTAGATGCAATAGATCATGATGAACAAGTTCTTTTTGTGCAAAAAATTTCAAAATCGACTTAAAACAAAGGAGATACCATTTGCAAAAAATATCACAACGAACTCGTTTCATGTGTGAAAACAATTTGAAATCCAAATTAAAACAAAGAACATAAGAGCCGATTAAAAAATCTGAGAAAAATAAAAGTCTTTAATTGTCAATCCTTAGATCTAGGGCTCATTAAAATGAATGGTTAAGATATTATTATGCAAGGATATGCACCATAGGATTACTAGCTCTATCCGTAACCCCTCACACGGATTCTATTAGATCTTCCTTCTGCTAAACAAAAGACGGGTATAAGTATTTAGACGTGTTAGATCAGGTCCTTAAAGCCTATCTTTTAAGTAAGAACCTAAACCATTTTCAACCAATAGAAGAAGGAGAGAGAGAGAGTCATTAGTAATCATTACACAACTACCAAACAAAAACGTGGAATGGTAAGACGGGAATAGAGTAAAAAATTAACTATTAATAATTACAATTGGGAAACTGTTGAAAATAAAACAAACACGAGTGAAGATTTATTTTAGAGCCCATGTCGTCTTCCAAACCCTAAAACCGCTTCGACACTTGCCGCCGCCGTCTGGACAATCTTCGTCAGCAATCTCGGCGTTTGCGTCCCGTTGTCACGTCGCCATCCCGACGTCGGCGGCGGCGTCCCATGGTCCCGTCGTCAGGTCACCATCTTCCTGTCGTCACGGTGCCATCATGTCGTTGATTTCCCGTTAGCTTCCCCGTCCCATTCCTGCTGTCATCCTGCCTGACTCCGCCGTCGTCCCGCCGCCATCCGACATCTCCCCATCCGATCGTCGCCCCATCTTGCCAGTCTCCCGCTGTCGAGGCGGAGTTTGTTAATTAAGAATGAATTCCTCATTTGTTGTAAATTATGTAGGACATGTTAATAATGATATTGTATATTGTTAATAATACTGAGCTGAAAAGTTGATAATAGCATCACTAAAAATGTTTACAACACAACAAGCAAATCAAGCTTCAATTTTATTGAGAATTTTAATAATAGCGTCATTAGAAAATGTTAATAATGTATGTGAAAACATTAATATGTACTGTTAAAACATTGACAGCTCGGTTAAGCTGCTTTAAAAACCTCAAATCAGAAGCTCATCTTATTGTGACATCATTTTAGTAACTGGTTAATAATTCCAATGATCTAATTAATAATAATGATGTGGTAGGTTAATAATGTTTACAACACGATCGGTGAATTGCGTTTCAATTTGATTGAGAAGGTTAATAATAGCATCATGGAAAAATGTTAATAACGTATGTGAAAAAACTAATATGTATTGTTGAGATCGTTGACAACTCCGTTACGTTGCTCTAAAAATCTCAAATCAGAGGCTCCCCTTATTGTCACAGCATTTTAGTTACTGGTTAATAATTTCAGTAATATAATTAATAATAGAGTCGCAGAGGTTAATACTGTGGACAATACAACCATTAAATCACGTTTTTTTATTGATAATTCTAGTAGCATCAATAAAAAATGTTAATAACGTATGCCAAATCATTAATATGTACAGTTGAAAAT